CATCAGTGTCAAAACACGCCTTTATAAAAAGATTCTTCATTTTCCTAGGCCCATTTTTGTACAATAGAATAAATAGACAATTAAGTATTTATAGCCTTAACCATTATCGCTGTAAAAAATATTAACTGATTATATACACACCCTAACATATGAACAAACTGAGGAATTACTTGAGGTTTGCAAATAATATAATAATAGCTGACGTCTGTTTATGTAATTTTACACGCGCACCTGTAACACTTAGATACTAATTATTTAAATTAATTGTTATATTTCATAAGTTTAGTTTGATAAGCAATAATATTGTAGTAGAAGTATGTCAGCACTTTTTTACCTGAAACACAGTTTGCACCTAGTTCAGGTTGATGTTAAACATTGTACTTTGCCTTAGACTTAAGATATTATACATTTTGTAATCTACCTTTTTATAACAAATAAACAATTTTTTTTTTTAATTAAAGGTCTCCAACCGCGCTTTCAAAGGTCTTTTCATTAAAAGTACTAAATAAGTAGATATGTAATACCCATACGATGCTGTAACGTATCATTCATCCGGCTGAAGCTCGAATTTAATTTATTCATTAACACCCTCTGTGGGGATTAACTCATCTATGATCTATTACCGATTCATCCGCAAAACTCATCCGAATTATTTTAGTTCCCGATTCATCCGAAAAAATATTCCCGATTCATCCGAAATCCAAATTATAATTATATAATTACCAATTCATCCGAAAAAATATTCCCTTTTCATCCGGCATGAAAATATCCTTAAATAAGACAAGAAAAAGTATAGATAGCAGAAAAAATATTTTAAAATATATTAACTCATATTTTTAATATACTGTATTAGGTATTACAAATTATATGTATGTATAAATACAAGTACTCACTTTTTTACAATATTTTTTCACTTTTTAACTGACTTCCCAAAAAGGAGGAGGGTCTCAACTGCCGAGTTGTGTTTTTTTGTGTGTTTGTACATCGATAGCGCCCAAACGCGTTGACCGATTGATGTGATTCTTTTTACATTCGACCCGAAATATATTCCGAGTGGGCCCATTTCAAGAATATTTGAAATCGATCCAGTAGTTTCCAGGCGGAGACAATCGGTCGATTTCTCGAACTTGCGAGACGATGTACACTTACTTCTACTGCACGTATCGTGTTGTAACTTTGCATACGAATGTAGATAGAGACTAACCGACTTTTAAAAGAAGAAGAAGTACCTACATACGTAACGAATTCTCGCTTGAAATTTCGTGTTGTACCCTTCTTACAACACTAAAAAGTGAATTGAATATACCTGTCCGACTTCTAAGTACGTGTTAGAAGTCGGGAAGGTTTATTATTTTTACCTTTTGGAAGTCGGTTTTTTTTAAATTTATTTTTATAAGATAAACTGTACGAATCTATTCCTACATTATCTAAAATGCCCAAAAAAAAACTAAAAAGAAAAACATTACCTACTTACTACAAAAATAATATCTTCTAATATTCAAAATCTTTTATTTGTCGTCGGTCAGGTGACACGACCAACCTGTAAAAAATATATATATATATATATATATATATATATATATAGGTAGATACCATATTTTTATAATACCTTTTCCCTTCTTCCATTATATATTAACAAAAAAATGTTAATAAGTGTGCCTAACCAATTGTTCTTATTACGAGAATTTTGCAGTCGGCAACCGAACAAAAGGGCTACAGAGCGTCAGGTAGGTATTTAAAAATACGAGCTCTATATTGCATAAAAGGGGTTTTATGATGGGATAGATAACACTGGTGAGAGTTTTCGGAATGGATTAGTATTTGTTAAAATATTGTTATTTAAATGTAATTGTTAATTTTAAAAAGACAATGTAAAAAGTTTTTAACTTTGCGTTTGTCGGCATCATAACGCAAAACCACCCTTCTTTTTAAAAATTATGTCACATATTTTGCATAAATGAAAATTTAGTTGACTTTTCGCTCGCGATCAGGAAACATCTCTACTATCACTTACTGTAATCACTTTCTGAACATTTGACCCTTGCTCGTGATCGGATTTGTTGTTTTGCCTACGATTTGGATTAGTTTATCATGGATTCTACTTGTGAACCTAGTAGTTCCAGTCAGACTCAATTAGTTTTTGAGCAATCAGAACGAGGAGGACTTCTTTTATTGCGTGGTGGCTATCAGCATAACAAAAAACGCGAAAACAAAAACGGTACAACTGTTTGGTGTTGTGTGAAGTGGCAAACTCGGAAATGTCGTGGACGTGTAGTCACAAAAAACAATCTAGTTGTGAGTGATGATCCTCATACATGCCAACCAAATTTTGCTGCCAACATAATAAAGAAACAACTGAACCAATGCCGAAAATTAGCTGCAACGAAATCAGACCCAATACCAACGTTATTCAACAATGAGATGTCTTCGCTCGCTGATTTTGGCCTCGACCTAGTAGCAACAATACCGAAGTTTACATCAATAAAGAACAGTTTATACCATTCCAGAAATAAAGCACTGGGAGTGAAAAGAACCACATTTCAAACTGCTTCTGCCGTTGAAATCCCAGATGCATATAAAGACAAAATATTGCTGGCTGACTATACAGACCAAAGGAACAGAATCATAGTATTTGGAACACATAATGCGAAGCACTTACTAGCAACAGTTGAACATATTTTTGCAGATGGTACGTTTAAAATATGTCCTAAGCCCTTCTACCAACTTTACACAATCCATGGAGATTTGGGTAGTTCCGAAGAAACATCTAACGTTGTCCCGCTGGTATACGCGTTATTATTAAATAAGAAACAGGCTACTTATGAAATCCTTTTTCAAATAATAAAGTCGCAAGTGCCGGATTGGAATCCAAAAAAATTTCAATCTGATTACGAGGCAGCAGCTATGAACGCAATGCAAAAAATAATGCCTAATTGTAAAATTGTAGGTTGTTATTTTCATTTTAAAAGTGCTCTAAGAAAAAAAGCAAAAGAATTAAAATTAAATAAAAATCCCGTACATAAAGCTCACGTTGCAATCTGTGGCGCTTTATCACTTCTGCCACAACACTTAATCAGTGATGGTTATTTATATATAATGGAAGATTGTTCCAATAACGGGCAATAGGCATTAAAGTTGATTTTGTAACACTTTATTACTAATGTAGTAATTTAAATATTGTATTTGTTACTGTTTACAGCTTAAAAAAGAATTAACAAATAGTTGTATATCCAGATTTATATGTATCAAACCTATACAGGAAGAATAATAGATAAGTCCTAAAGTTGATTTTTATGGTACTGTATTACTGGTGTTATATTATATGTTACATCTTACTATTTAAAGTTTTACAAAGAAATAATATATATTTACATAATTAAAATATTTGTTTTATTTGTCAACCCTCCATCACTTTTTTTATTAATAACTATCTTTAAAACTCTCGGATGAATCGGACATACCATTTACTCTTCGGATGAATGGGGAAAATATCATAGGTATTTCAATATTTAATCAAATTTATCCGGATGAATCGGGAATAGATCTCATCTATTTTGTAATTTGGTATAAAACCTCTTTGATGTCACGATTATTGTTATTCCACGCTAATGCGACCGCGTTTAATTTCTTCCTTCCGTCTTACTTTGCTGGGTTGGTTTGCAACATTGATTTATGATAATAGTGCGCTTACACACTCTGGTAGTAAACGGTAGTGGAGTGCTAAAGGATTAAATATACGACCGGTTGTGTTGTAGTGGTCTTGAGTTATATCTTGGTCAAATACCTAATACCTAAGTGTTTACGCTTGAAATTGGTATTCTACCTGTTATTGGTAGGCTGTCAATGTCTGTATACGGTGAGGTGACTGACTGAGCAACTGGCTGCCGCGCAGCGTGTCAAGGGTTCCATTCCCACACAGAACCGCTCTTTATGTGGTCCATAAATTGTTATTCCAGGTTTGGAAGTGATGTGTATGTACAATATTAAAAATATAAAAGGCAATAGGCAAACGAAAACGAAACGTAATAAGTTAGTAATAGGTATTAATTAAAAAGTGATGAATGCTCAGACTGCTGAGCTTATTGCGGTATGGCGCCCATGGTAAACCTTTTGACGTTATCCAGTTATATTGTTTGCATTTTTTTGTGATAGATAGGTAAGTATCTTATTAGGCAAATAATTATAAGTTATATTTTTTTATATTGTAAGTTATAAGTTTGACTGCACGGCTGGTGCGGTGGCTGAGCAACTGGCGGCCGTGCAACGTGTCGCGGGGTCGATTCCCGCACGGAACAACTCTTTGTGTGATCCACGAATTGTTGTTCCGGGTCTGGGACGCACAAACGCACCCACGACACAGGAGAAAATCCTAAAGTGGGGCAACGTTTTATGAAAAAATAAATAGCATTTGTCGAAACCGTTGCGCTTCGTATGCCGTAATGGCCACTAGGTCGCCGCCATGAAGCAAAAAACGTGGGCCCTGTTGGGCGCACGGTGTTGAGGATGCAGGAGCCATTGTACCGCGGCGCCAGCCAGGTCGGGGAAGAAATTTTATGATTTTTCCCCTTAAGAAAACACCGCAGCGCCACTGTTCGAAAGTTACTTATGTATAAAGTAACTTTAACATTTTAAATCTTGCACTATCACTTCAGCCTTCATTCAAAAAGGAACGAGTAATGCGACAAGACCGTCCGTCTGTGTTACTTAATGGAAGGTCGGTGTATTTATAGTGTCAGTATTGCAATTTATGTGCCCTGATAATGTCATCTAATGCATTAGTTGCTTAATGATCTAGTTTGAATCTAAGTATATAAACGTACCGGCCTATCTATTTACTGATTAACTGGATCAATGCTCAACCACTTAAGTTATCAACTTTATTAAAATTCCAGGTGCCATTTTTAAAGCTTTAATAATAATTGAGCACATGTAGGACACAGTCCCGACTTAGTTCATACGTGGTTAATATTAAAGTTAGTAAAACTGACATTTGTCCCCAGAGGCTCTGGTGGCTCGCCGTGGCGCTTCTGTTGTGGGCACCACGCACACAATGCCGAGAAATCACGTAAGTACACCGCCATACTACAGTGTGAGCTGGGCTTTGTTACATTTACATTACAACCACCACAATGCCTGGATGGAGCCGCGCTTTGAATGCAGTATTCATGCCAGGAGGCAGTAGCATAGCAGCTTTGCTGAATTATTTAAATCAAACCCACATTACCTCCACGTACATACTCGAAAACGTCTGGGTAGTGTAGGTAATGTTAACATTTATTGATCTTGAGGTTGAAGGCATACACAAAGCATAAAGCATATAATATTGGGAGTCACAAGAAAAAATATCTTCTTTGTCATATTTTTTCATGAGTTGTTGTTATTTTCTGCGGTCAACGAACTGCGAACGAAATATTTTGAAAATTTTACAAGCAATAAATATTTAATTAGTGCGCTAAACTGTGAAAGTCGTAAAATAAACAAACGCCAAACTGTTTACGAGGCAATAATCGGCATTTTGGCGTAAACCTAACATTAACTACTAGCAAGAATTTAGAGACACGACGAAATAGTGGTCAACTAGATTCATCTTACTTATAAAGGTGTGGTATCACAAATAAAACAAGTTTATGTTTAGGATCGAAATCCCATAGATCAAAAGAATCTATTATAGGTTTTAATGGCCCTTAAACTTTTAGCACTTCCTTGAATGACATAGTTGTGCAACTTACAAGTAGATGTGAAATGATTTTTGACATAAAATAACAAAAGAAAGGTTCCCTTAATTGATGATTCCGATGCATAGACGGTTGATTTAAGTGAATGGCGTCGACCGGCCGGTCGTAAATCTTCAGCTAATATTTTTATCTGTCTATGAGTTAAGTGCATCGTCAAATAATGCATGTAGAACCATAAATCTCCATTAAACGGGCCACTAGGAGACCGTAACATAACCACTCATTCTATTTCAGGATCTGATTGATGTTCTATGAATAGGAAGTTAATTAAAATTTTATTTATTTAGTGGAGACATGCGTCGATTGATCTGTTTAACGATGCAGTAAGGTTTTATAACCGTTCAATAACTAAATCGTTCGGTGTGTAAATCACAGCGCTAGGTTGATTGACCCAGCTTTTAAAATTATGACGTCAGCCGATAAAATTGTCATAAACATCGAATCTTTCTTAAGGAAAGGGGTTGATGTGTATGCTTGAAATTGCTGGGTAATAAGAGAGTTAAGAGACTCGCGGTTATCAATTAAAACCTCTTGCCTTCTGGAACAAAAACCTTGAACGTAACTAAACCCATGAGTGTTATGTAAGTTGTGTATGTTTGCTACTTTTACGTAAGTACGTTATTTAGTAGGTACTTATTCCTTTTCTCTAAGAAGTAAACTGGCGAGATATTGCACAGTTGTGCCCAGCAAAGTGCACATTGTGCGATGTGGAATGCATTATTCTACTGTGCAGTTTAGTAACTAGAACTTGAGTCTATTAATAATGCACTGAACCAGTCCTGTTTTCTACATTTCGTTTGTATTTTAGTAACAGTTACCTCACTCGAAATAGCTCCGACTGATCTCCGCGTTTTATTGCCTGTGTCACTTGTGTGATTTGAGTATTTTAATTGATTTATTGATGAGGTAATTGAATAGTTTGTTTTATGTTATTATTGCCTCGCTGCACGAATGGTCGTGATTACTATCGAGTTCAAGATACAAGTATTACCTAATGTGAATGATATTCAGTACTTACATCATTTTCCGATGTAGCTTTTTTAATTTTCGAACTCTATGCCGACTTGTTTGTCTTTAATTCAGGGAAACTCCTAGGAGAAAAAGAAAAATATTGCAAATAACATTCTCTTGAACGTTGAACGTTGAACAGACAGTTCCGAATAACGGTGGATCTGATCGTAATTGTTTAAACTTTTAAAGTAAGTAGTCGCAATATTTCACGTCTAGGCTCTAGCTATGAATAAGGAGTTCGTCCTACGCTAACCACTTAAGCCACATCCGTTTAGTTGACACTATGGAATTAATGTTTAATCATAAAATTAGAACCTCTTTGTTTGGATTCAAGTTCGTTAAATAACAGTTCATGAACCCATGCCCACTTGAAATTCTGACAGTATTGTTACGTGTACCATAAGCACCCACTTGTGATGGTAGTCCGATGCATTCTGCTCTTCCTATTTAATATTAGGAAGTTATTTTGGTTCTTCTTAGACTGCTTTGACCAGTGAAATCCAGTTAAGAACAAAAATCTCACTACCCTTAGTTCCTTGCTCTTGCCGTGGATGTGGTAAAGATGTGCAACACGTATAAAACATCCTGGAGCTGCGCCCTCTGACAAACCTTAAGCTAACTTAACACATTGAACGCCGTGTCTGAATATTATGATGACTAACGCTAGCATTCACCTTTAACAGTTTTTGTCAACAACTTAAATTCGCCTGCCAAGCGGGAGGATTATGGTAAAAGCCCCTCTTACCCAAACTCCTGTAGCTGCTTCGGGCTGCTGATGCGATGTTTTAAGCTTCTTCATTAAATAGGTTCCCAATACCACTTTATTCCTGAGGTATTTGGAAAATATGCCTTTGTTGTGAGGGAAAATCATCAAATGACTTCTTTCGCTCAGAGTGAGGCAAGAGAAAGTGCCAGACTTACTGAATAAAAACACCTCTATTCCCTACTCTTGAATTAGGTAGATGTCGCGGTAATATGGCCCCGTCTGTGGTGGTCTATTGGCTCTTTTAAGCTACGCTACGCGGAACGCTACGCGCCGTACGCTCAGTATACCATAACGTGTTAAAGCGTGAACCTACTACCCTCCATCCCTGGTTCTGGTCGGGCGGCGAACTATCCTTACCCCATAGGATGCAGTTTGCCGTATTTTACAATAAACCAAATCATTGTTTGCGTACTGTGTACTCTCAAAAACCGAAACAGTTATTAGTCTATTTATAAATCATGTGTGTTCTTCGAATCGGAAATCGATTTGTAAATTGTGTAGTTAAATATTTACCGTTTTGGCCACAACAAGGGAACGCCGCTTATTTTCTAGTCACGTTTGTTATTTTGTTTCAGTCAATGTAATTTAAAGATTACCTTCTCAGAATTAGTACCGACTACTTAGATGCTAAAATGTTCAAACCTATTTCGAAATTTCCGATACCTACAATAAACCCTATGCCTAAACTTAAGTTTTTATTTTCAGACACGAAGACATAAAAGAAGCGATGCTATCATTGGTCCACATGATCAGAATGTCAGAGGACAAACTAGAAAGGCATGAGTTTAGAGAAAAAGCGCTTGGAGAGCAAGTTAAGAAAATGCTAGGAAACCTAGACAAGAAGCATAGAGCCTTAGAGCCGTTGAAAGGCATGATCTCAAGGCTAGATGAGCGGCTGTCGAATGTAGAAACTATACTGTTACAGGTTTGTATGAAAGAGGCAATAATGTCTTATATTCAACAATTTATACGTACTTAATTAAATGTTATCGATGATATTAGCCATTAGACGCCAAAAACTGCATTTTCGTGTGTTCGAAATTGTTATCCCGGATCTGGGTGTCGACGTGTGTGTAAACTTATAAGTATACATCACAAGAAGATGCCACTAGGGCACGATAAAAAGATAGTAAAAATATCGGTAGTCTTCCTAAAGAAACTTTTTTAACTAGTTTTTGTGATGTGTTTATTATCTCAATGTAATTATTTCAGAAAGAAGAAAGAGAAAAAGCCTCTCAGAACAAAATTAATGAGGTGCTTGCAAATATAGAGAAGGCTCTTGTGGCACTGGCACCCGAAACCTCGTCTCGAGGAGATTTAGACAACAGCTTGTCAGGCACCAGTGACACTGTATTGAGAAGGCTTGATGCTACTGACGCCAAGATTGAAGCTGTAAAGACAGAAATAAAGGGTCTAAAGAGTAGCTTAAGTCCCGTAAGTTGCTAACACAAAACATTATATAGGTACTTATTTATTACCTAGCATAAAGTCTCATAATGAACCCGCAATTATTTCTTCTAGGACTCGCTCCGTGCCATGTGTTTGGAAGTAGGCTCTGAAATGAATCCCTTCGAGAAGCACATAACAGAAGCTGAGAAACTCCTCAATAAGTATGAAACAAAGTTGAACCAGTACAACGGTACTAAAGTGCAGACTGACTTCGTGCCGCTAAACGAAGTGTCGCTAGCTGATGAAGCGTGGCATAGCAAGATGAGTGAAGGTACTTACACTTATTTGGTAACCATTCTTGTTTTATAAGTAGATATTGTTTAAAAATACTAGCATCCTTATTAAGTAGGTATTCTCCAATTGAATGGTCAAGGCCCGATGTGCGCGTAAGCATACAAAAAACTGACTTCATCGATTACCTTAATTTCAGCCCAGGTTTACGAACTGCTGGCCTTCGTCTTTTTTTGCCATAAGTACTTATGAGTTTCATATTCTTACTAAACGAATATTTCTTACCTTTGTGTAAGAAATATTGCAATTTCAATCAGTTTTCAACCGAAATACCTAATAGCTTTATTGTTGTTACCTACCTATTTTAATAACTATCTAGGTAGGTATTCTAAACGTTTCGTATAGGTATACCTAAGTATATCTACATGTCGACCTAGCCTAGAACAAACCTTTGTGCTGTCGAGTAGGCAGATCGCAGATAGATAATCGCTGATTTAATGAACTAATGGTACCTAAGTAGTATATTCATTCATAACACACCCATTTTCATAACTCACGTCAAGCGAAGAATGTGGCTTATCATTTAATCCGTTTTTAAATGGGTAGCAAGGTATGGCTAAATGTAGGTTTTTATTTATATTTACTTATATGTTTTATCTTTGTATAGGATAGGTTAGCAAACGAGCCAGCAGTTTATCTGATGGTAAACAATCGGGCGGCGCCGCCCATGGACCCTCGTAAATACCAAAAGAGTTACTTAGATAGGTGCTACAAATGTATTGTCGGCCTTTTGTAGGCAGTTGTTGTAATTAGGGATTAGATAATTTGGGGATTAAGTATAAAGGGTTAGGCTTGAGCTTCCGGTAACCTCATCACACGGCGAAATAACCCAATCATTGTTTCACGCCGGTACTCTGTGACGCCGTATTATCACTGTGGTCGAGCCGGCACTTTCCCGCCGAACCGTGGCTGTCCCACACTCATACATATATAAGTATCTCTAAGTACCAACATATTATATTATTATCTAGATTATATTAGATGCTACAATGTTACGAATGTGTAATTTTTATTTCCATAGTGATGGAACGCCAGGAGAACGAAATAAAGAAGATTCAGCGTCTGCTGTCTGACGCGGAAAGCATGTGGAAGGATCTGCCTAGACTCGCTGACCTGCACCGCTCCACCAATCAAACCATGGAGTCCATTAACAAATCCACTGAATCCCTACTCATTAACAACGAAATGGGTATGTGTTTTATCTTATATTTAAAAGGGCACCTACCAACTATTTTTCGATCACACCCACAAGTCCAAACTAATAATTTATAAATGCGAAAGTAACTCTGTTTGTCTTTTCTTCACGCCTAAACTACTGAACCTATTTGTGTGAAATTTGGTACCTACACACATAGTCTGGAACTCGAGAAGGGACATTGGATAGTTTTTAAACCAAAAATCTTCAGGAAATCACTATTCCACGCAAACAAAGTCGCGGGCAAAAGCTATTTTTATTATAATCGAAAACTAGACATCCTTCTCATCTTTAGCTATAATGCTATAAGTTCTTATTTCAATTTAAGGTTCATAAAAACATCTGCTATGTCACACTACTTACTCGTCGTTATCTACATAATATGTAGGTACTCGGGTGTAACTTATTAATTTTTAAATTTTCAGTATGCAATAAACATTACAATAACTTTTGAATATTTCTGACACTTTAAATTGTTGTTGTGTTTAGTTACGCCACCATCAATCGATTACCTTATTTTGATTTACTTAGTCATGGTAAACAATAAGGATAACATTTGTCATTCACCTTGAATTGACCTAGTTACCTCATGCTTTCGAATTATGAAGTGAGTATAGATACCTACCTGACTGCGACAACGTTCAAGTTACAGAACGTAAGCAATTAATTATACATACTTATGTGTGAACTATCTACATTACCTATATGTAAGTAGATACAGGTATACCTAAAAGCAATTACCAACACTTTAATTAATACATTTTTTGAACTGTGTTGATGAGTCGCTAGATACTAAAGAATTTTGTTGATAGGCAGGTATATACATATAGTGAAGTGCTTTGTAATTTTATTTTTACTTTGTACTTTAATTTAACCTTAGTATCCCTTAATTAGTGACAATTAAGTATATAAGGCGCTCAAACTTTATAAGGATTTCGCTTTTATATGACTAAGATCCTGCTTATTTCAGCTGTGACCAAAATTGTAAACAAATTCCGTGAAATGGGTGAGCGGCTGGTGGCGACTAACGAGGACGTGCAGCGCAGCTTGACGCAGAGCAACACTATGACTGAGCGGGCCTATGCCGACATCTCCAGGAGCTACGATACCTTACGCACTGAGGTGGAGCATTCTTGAAATATTTTATTAATGCCCTAGACATGGACTGCACGCTAGATCTATGAAGTTTTTAAGTCCGAGTGAAAATTCGTTGTGCATTTAATACTTTAGAGAGCCGTATCCGTATTAAACAGAAGCTGGTAAACGCCCACAAGATAAATCAAAAACGTATTAAGTAGGTACTTATCTACCTGCTTAGTGGCAGTCAATAAGTTCATTAGGACTTGCCACAAAGGCAGCTCAATGAACGGTACCTTCAATATATTTTTTTGCCTTCGTATTGGATATTGAGGGACCCTATCTCAAGTCTATGGCACAGATCTCAGTGGGTCGAGTGCCAGTTATGTATGTCAAGTGGGGATCGCGACTCAAGAATCCGCCTGCCAAGCACGCTTCGCAAAATCGCATCGCAAACGTTATTCTCGAGCTTTAAGTCCCATATAAGAGTTACATGTTTGAGAGCAACATTTTCATATTTTTCACCGCAGGACGGACCGGAAAACAGTTAAGTTGGTACGTTCGGTAGGTAGGTACATAATGTTTAAAATAGACTTCTAAAAGTGAAGAAGTCAACTATTCCTATGTTTCTTCTGCCCTGTGTGGGGTGAGAGGGGAGCCGAGCAGGGCCGCAGAACATGATTTGATGCAAGCGCAATCGGAAACCGCAGTCCGGAGTACCTACCTAAATGAGTGCATAGAAAACTTACCTTCGTAATTTATTGCCTATATATTAAAATTGGGGGTAGGTGCTTACTTGCAATTGTTTGCCGAGGTTGCGGGGCAAGCGACTTTAGTCACCGCGGCTTAAAGCAGGAAAAGGAACGCCCTGGCGGGAGAAGTAATGAAAGGTGCTTGTAACCGTTTAACTTCAATGTTTAGGTTCAACTGCTGTCAAAGAGCGAACGTATGATCGTGGACACTTCGGATAACGTGGTGGCAATTAAGAAACGATTTGAGTACGGAGTCCATCAGATACTGATGGAAGTCGGCGAACTCATCAAACAACAACACAAGACTATGAACAAAACCGTCAATGTCAAGTGAGTAAAACTTTTCCTGCCGACGATTAAGTAGGTGATTATTGTTAAGTTACGGGCAAGAGTCTGAACCGCTATGCTATCCATAGATATTTCAACATAGTATATGGCATCTAATCTCCGAGCCACCATATGAAGATCTTGCATTTCTATTAATATTTTTGATATCTTCACACGCCTTACACACGTTTAAAAATTTACAGGTTAGAAAACATTGAAACGGCAATAACCAAAAAACAGACTGTAGCGCTCAATGCATTAGGATCGAAGATCGAATCTGAGATGTCACAAGTATGGCGGCAAATCGGCATTATGCACCAGCAGATCATGATGAGCAGCCAGGCATTGAACAAACTTTCAGTAAGTTACTACTTAGAACTAATTAATTGTACTTATCACTCCAATGCGTAAGTAAATAATTTGATAGTGTTACCTATAGAATTTACAGTGTTGCAGCTATAGTACATAGATAGGTAGGTACCTACCTACATTGAAAATATAATACATTATCATAGAATAAACTAATAGCTTTGTCCTAAAGATCTCAACACTGTACGTATTATTGTTAGAACTGACCATTCATTGGCAACAAAACATTGACATTCCCCGATTTTAAATTTATCAAACTGAACAATGAGCCGAGCCAAGCATACCTACATATAGCCAAATATAGCAGCCCACATTTCTATGAGAAAAAAAAACTATTTTTCTAAATGCTTGCTAGAATGGTAACAAGAATCTTTATAAGTGTTTGCTAAAGCCCGCTCGTTTTAATTTTCTATAATGTAATATAACAGCAATCTTTATTACACGAGTCTCAAAGGGACCTGCGCCCTACACACTACTATAAGTGCTCCGACGTAGAAAGAACACACCATTAAGTTAATAGCATGGTAAATTAAATTGAAACAAAAACTAACTAATATCTACGTACCTTTCATTCACAGGCATTCTCAGAGGAGTACGTCAATGCTAGTACACCGAAAATGGATAAAATGAAAAAGGAGGTATGGTAACAAACAACCTTTGACATTTCTATAAGTTGTATGGGATTAATTTAATTAAACGAATAATTGTCTTTGTTCCTAGATGGACGGCATCACTACACGCATTGTCGAGTTAGGAACCAACCTTAACTTCGTGATTGGGGAACTTTCGGTGGCGACGCGCGAATTCCGACAAATGGCCCTCGGTCTCACGAAAGTTCTCAACCAGTCTACTAAGTCCACAACGGCTTCACCTACCACTAAAGGTATCTAACTAATAGCCTCTCTAACTAGTTATAACAGTATACCGTAACTACAGTCAAATTGCATTCACAAGTGCCTTCAAACCAAAGTTCAGTAATGATCAATTAGTGATCATTCTCACACACAATTCTACCTAATGAGACTTCATTTTACTTTTCAGACGCCGGACCTGGCCCCCACAAAATTGAAAGCGAAGAGAAATTACCATAAACAACTGATACCAAATAACATAGAATAAGAAATAGTTAATTAACAATAAAATAAGTTCTTACCGCATAGATATTAATCGTAAGTCGACTGATGTGAGATGATATTTACGGAAGTGAAATAAAACTCTTACGATATTAACTTTTGCAAATATTTAATCTCTTTTATAATTGTGGATCTATATATTTATATTGTACAAGTTATATGATACAATGAAATTTTATTGTGACAGATATCCCAACGTCACTTACAAGTGAACGCGTAAAATCAACAATATACAACTGACAGGAAAAATCTAAGAAATCTTGAATCAATCAACTGTACTGTACAATCATAATTTTGATATTCATATTTATTATTGATCTTAAATAATATACACACAAATTATTTGTCATCCGTTTTTTTGTTTATTTATTAATCCTGAATACAACCTCATTTTCCTATGTGCAATTAATAGATACTTATTACAACAAATGATTTATGCTTATTGATCCATTAAATACGTAAGTAAATAATTTGATAAAATCGTGACCTAATTTATTGAACTGTTCCATTATATAATATGAACATTGAAAATAGAATACATCATCATAGAACAAACAAACACTTGATTGATAATAATAATTCTTAAGTTGAGTTAATGTGTCTGATAACAATTGTGGTTACGTTATTGCGTATGGCTGGACGTGTTACTAAACATTGGGATGGTGAGTTGGGAGTCCACTTAAAGGTAATACACTAGACACATTCGTTGTCAGTGAACAGCCTAACTTGGGACATCTCTAACCTAAGTTACCACCGGAACAACAAAACATGCTCCGGGACTGGCAAGTTGACAAACAAAAAGGAATGTTAGTTACTCTAGGCGAACCAGTCGCTTCACGTCTTTGGAAACTTATGTACTAAATAGGATTTTCCGTTTACCATAAATGTATTGTTTGCATTTTCTTTAGTATTATTTAATGAGTTAAAAAATAAACTTCAATTGGAACTTTAAATGAACATAACAAATAGGCAATCTTCATGGTAGTGCCATACATAACACCCATACACAAATAGCACTTGAACATTTTTACATTACGAACCATTATGTACATGGATAAACATACATGTACACTATATTAATGCAAAAAATATTTACATTTCCTTAATTAATTGTTTTAAAAAGCACTTAATAGCCAACCCTTTACACACACCCGTGAGAACAACTCAAATATTAATAAAAAGCAATAAAAATAATCGATATAAACATACAAAGGCGGTAAAAACAAGGTGAAATTTGCGAAATGATTCAAATGTTACATAGTACATACGTTGATCATGCATAGTAGATAAAAGTTTTATATTCATAACTAATAAACAATATAATTATTCAATCGAAGCATAATTAAGCTTTATAAAGCTGTTTAGATAATTCCAAAAACATGTCCTATGACTATATGATTTCAAAAAACTTAAAAAATCGTAAAGTTTAACGTGAATCTATCAAAAGCCCGAATATGAACGTACAACAAGCTCCCTAGGTGAAGTAAGTCTAAGTAGTCCATGTGATGGACCGTACCACCGACGTGACATCTACACTTTGTACAACGTGGTATCAAAACAAGGAGTGCGCGGCGTGACGCGGCGGGTTGCGTGTCGCGTGCCATGTCAACACCGCTTTATATTTACTTAACGCAACGGTACCCTACTATTTATAATTTATTAACTCCTAACTAAGTTTTAAGTGTAAAATTGTGCCACACAAGCGATCTCAATGGGACATCTAAAGCCGAACGCAACGAAACCATCGCAAGCGCGCCGTAAACCGTTGGCCAGCCCCCCCCCCGCCCTTGGCTGAGCGGTGAAGCTGTCCAGTGGCCCCGACCACGTGACTAGTTCCGCTGATGATGGAATGTCGAACATGGAATGAATATTATAAATTCCTGTAAAACGACAAGGTTTTCAACCCTGTAAAAATTAGTGAATGAATTACATTATGTAATTTCCACTACGACTCATATCATATAAAACACCCGCTACTTTTTACTCCACCAGATAACTATATATAATAATGACTAAATTTTGATTCAATTTAGAGCCCCTATCGCGATAATTTCAATACATTATCTAATTTAAATAGATGTGGCCGGATATAGGTGATGTTTGTATACCCTAATACCTTTCACATTGTTACATTATTCCGACTCGTTACGCTAACTTGTTCTTATGTGATGGAACTTACATAGGAAGACATACAACTATACATATACGCCTTTATAGACATCGCAAAATTAACTTTAATTATGATTTAGTACATTTGGTAATCAAAGAGATTATTGCAGCTGTGTAATGTAAACCACGTAATAAATAATGTAAACGTTGCAACAAATGTGTGGGACCGGAACACCCGAGAGCGTGATCGGGGTCTCTGCCCTGGTTCAGTCTGTCTAACACGACTCACATGCTTAGTCTCGGAATCGAGTCCGCAAATTATACATGACCACCCCATAAATCCGAGGCACTTACATGATCTTAACAGTAATGATATACAACTACTAACTAGTGGTACCAAATGTTAGCTCTTTGTCATCCCGCGAAGGACCCGTTGATACAACGGGCGTGACACAATTAAAGCTATGGACATGTTCCACGTACTAATTGTTAATAAGGTCTAACCTAACACGGAGAGAGAAGGGAGCTATCGTAGACGTACAAAGTACTTATCTATGTAAACCTACATTCAGCTCTTAAATCTTACACGAACTGACCGTTAACCAGTGCGATTACATACAAAATTTGTGAATAAAATGAGTGTTCGAATTCATAAAAAGTCTAATGTGCTGCCATGTTAAAAAATATAGTGTCTCCCAGTGTACATCGAAAAAATTTAAATGAGTGCAGTAGTGAAAATATTCGATCAATCCAAATCATTACTCCTTATCTCGTAATTTGTCCTAACATAGTAGAATATGATTATGGTGAAACTTGGTGCCACATGAACATCCTCCACGACCGAACCGAACCTACGAAGCAGAATGTCACAACGTCCACGCGTGATGTATGTACATTTTATCGACAAGTTGCAATAACAAAACAATAATTACATGATGTATACTTTAAAACCATCGCACATGTATATGTACAAGTTCAACGGGCTCAGCTCTATAGGCTGAACATAAAATTTCTATATTTCAGAAGTCGCGCGGCACCTAGCAGCGGGACGCGACAGTGAGCTGCGTGACGCCAAGGCGCCTTCAATTCCTATGACGCTATATTACAAACAGGAGCTCGACCCCGCCGCCGTGCCTGCGCCGGCCGGGGCATATGTGGGGCGTCCCGCGCGAGGTGGCTCGCGAAGCGTTACAAAATATTTATCTTATGTACATATTGTCGTTCGAAGATAAGAATTATAACTATGCCTAAGTGCGGGATATAAAAGGTGTTGGCGCGGGGTTTACCTCCGCGTGTTTTTGGAGGAGGGGCGCGAATGAGAGTGAGTCTGGGGGGTCGCGCCCCCCCCCCCTTTCCTAACTGGAACACGACGCGGCCGATACAGGTGACAGGGGTGAGTCACGGGGGCACCCTGACAGCGTCACTACCACCTGCATACAAACAAAAAATATCTTAATACTTTCAAGTGTGATCAAGAAGCCAGGTAAAGAAACAGCCTAACATAACAGTAGCCTTAATTATTAACTTTGCGGAAAACATATACATACATATTATATGCCCGGGCTATGCATACAAATGCTGTATGTATTTACATTTACGCTAAAATCCCAGACACTTACAAAGCCAACTCTTGTTAAATCCTCCTCGAGCTGAATACATTCTAATAACCCTAAACTAATAATAAGGATCAGTAACTCGTGTCCTGGTCAGAAACCTGCAGAGGTATTATAATTTTTTCGATCTTTGTTTCAGTGTATGTTTATGAGCAGTGACAATACCTACTGACATTCTTAAAAACTGTATCTAGCAGTATTTATTATGTTATCATTCTAAGGTATTATAGAGGTATATTATACTTATTTGTATTGTTCATTACCTTTCGGCTGCCAGCGTGATTCCTATGTTCGCAGAGCCAAACTCCTTGCCAGGTGCCAAGGTTTAGCTTGCCATCAGTGATGGGTATTGTTAGTGAGGACCCAAGGAAGCATGCTTTCACATGGGCAGGCTGTGAGACAATATTATAATTCATTAATACTATTACTAAATTTTGCCAGTGTTTAAGTAACAAGCATGGCATATAAAGATAATTTTGTATAATATTTAAATAATAATATGCCTTGCAAGAACAAATAAAACACTAATTGGCCAGTTTAACCTTTGTAATCAGTAAATGAAACAGTATAAGGTTATTGTTGCATATCAAATAGCCTTAAACATCATAACTTTAACACTGATATGCCAAGTTAGTACATAAGTAAACCTACAACTAAAATACATACAAAGTGTTCAAGGATATTAACATTTTTACAGCTATACTGTACTGATGGCTGATTATAAATTGCACCAGTTTAACTAAATATGATCCCATAGTTGCATTCAAAACATTGCAAATTAGTAATGTGTTATCAAAAAATTAAAAGTTGTTGCCACAACCAATGTAAGACTTACTGGGAGGTAAAGTGAACTATATGCCATTTATTTAGTTTAAAATGCATGCTTCATTTGTTATTTATGGAAAAATATTTCACTTGCAAATTATTTCAACAAAACATTCCAAATTCAAATTTAACACTGCAGTAGAGTTTAGTGCCAGTATGACTGCGATAGGTTAATGAAGATTGATGTATGATTAGCACAACAAACACTCACCATGTCGTCAGGACCTTCACAGGAGTGTCGATAAGGCAAGCCCTCCGGCACTATTTTATTGAGCATCATCTCCATATCGTCTCTAACATCAGGATCCCAGCTCTCGTTGAGCGCAAGACTTGCCGATGTGTGCATTACTGGAAACAACATTCACTGATCAGCTGGCTACCGTGCAACTATCACGTTGCTGATATTTCACAACAAAATTTTCTTGTAATCCACTTCATAGAGTATGCGTCGTAAAACAGCGCGAGATTTTAATATGAATGATAAATTTGACAGGCGGCAAGGATGCAACATCGCGGTCGGCGGCAAGGCAGGAATGCTGTCAAGGCAGCGGATACTCACTCTGGATATGGCAGAGGCCGACTGCAAACTGCGAGAGCTCCGGCACCTGCTTGAGGATCTCCTCGGTGACGAGGTGCACGCCCCGGTGCTGCGGCCTCAAGTTCAGTTTCCGTTGAAACCACGCGGATCCAATCTGAATTCCTCGGTTCGAGGCCATGTTTAATTTTTTAAAACGCTACAGAGTGATCGCAAGAACACAAACGATCTTACACAACATCACTTAGAACAACCTTTACATGAATTAATCCACAATTATCATAAAAGATTCATCTTCGATCTTTAAATAGTAATAAATATAGCGGAGGTTATAGGACAGATTCGACACCCTATTTTCTGCGGGAAAGTGAAACAGTCTTCAAACGAAAGAGAAAAACGAATGAATGTTGTCAGTGTTAAAAAAATGCTCAACTACCATGAATTTCATTCATAAAATAATTGACGGTGCGGTAAGCCATGCTTGTTAGAGAAAATATTATATGAGTAGATACCTATATAAAAGCTACACAAGTTACTTTTTATTTTTAAATAACTTGAAACACAATATTATATTCTATATAGTAAGTAGTTTCATGCATGATAAAAGAGTAATGTATAAATGTTTTCTAGAGATATTAATAAAAAGTATAAGAGATTAATTGTTACACGCTCTATTTCATTCTCATTTATCTTACAACAGAAATTAAGAGACAAAAGAGAAATTAAAATAATAAATATTTATAATAAACCCACTGCTGGTTGTTTTAAGATTTAATAAAAGTTTTGGAATTGGCAACAGTCGCATCTGTTTCTTCCATTGACATAGGAAATATATTTCTATCTCAATGGTTTCTTCTGTAAGCTGTAGAGCTGTGCTTGGGGGATGATCGGCGGGAAAATTCAAATTGTTATTATTGCAAAATGTAGTAAGAAGATTGGCTAATGTTTTACCAGTATTATTAATTAAGTAGCAGTATATGTATTTGTAAGACGTAACATCCCCCTTTTAATTTATAAATGGTTTATTATACATTTCTAAATAACACATTGCCTATGAAGTATCAAGAAAATTATAGAAACAACGGGAGTGCCGAGGGTTGATATTTTTAGGTGTGGCATAGAACCACTCCTTGGACTAACAATTAGTTCCCACCTCAAATATAGTCAGTGCGAACGCGTATTGTTTTAGACACGGTAATTTCTAATGATTATTCAACATGGATCCTATTATGGATATTATTAATAACTCGGAAGAGCCAGAATGGCTTGAAAGAAATGTGGTGGGAGATCTGAGACTATGGCAAATTATGTTTCTGTGTTTAGCAAGTGTTGCTTCACTGAGTAAGTAATTACAAACCTAGACATCATTCTTATTTTATAAATCAGTGATTTAAAGTACCTAATGAAATAAAATAACTAATTACTTTCAGTTGTGATCGTATGCTGTTGTTTCCGGTTCCGTATTCCTCGTACGAAACAACAAATCGAAGCTGACTATCAAAGGCGAAAGATCTCCAATAAATTCCGTGCAAAGTTGGAGACCATAGAGGACGCGAAGATGGATGCTATGTCGCTAAAAGATGGTAGGTATAAGTTTCTTTCTATGAAAATAAGTACCTACCTTAGACTAAGAAGATTTAAGTAGGGTAAAGTACCCAATTTTCCCAAAGTTAGTCCCAATTTATATTTGTTAAAAATAGCTCTTTACCTACTCCTTATGGTATTTTTTTTTTGTTTTAATGTTTAATAAGGAAGAAAATATAAAAAAGCCGTGGTTTACCTCAATCAAGATTTTTTTAGACAAGGAACAATAAAAAATGTTGTTCTCACCATTTACTGGCACCATTCCCTCCAATGAATAGTATAGATCCAGCCAATTATTAGCACATAATTATCACTGTTAGAAATTATCATTAAAATATCTCAAACTTAAATCATATAATATATAAAATTTAAACACCTGTTGTTACCGACGATTACAGTAAACAGGCAAAAGCAGGAGGTGCAGGCCTCAAATGTTTGTTCCACAATTCCCGTCTCTAAGTATGATGTCACCAATAGTAGGATTCCAAAAACGCATATTTAATTTTATGCATTTATTGGTGTAGTAAAGTGAAAGATTACCTAAGTGCTGATCATTTGGTACAGTGCCAGCGTTTGGGTTATTTTTACCCTAATTAATTTCTATAATTTATATCTAGGGTACATAGGCTCTTTTATAGGATAGGGCGGCACACGGATCACCTAATGGTAAATAAACGTCGCAACATCTAAAAAAAGTACAATTTAAAGTGGTTTTTTGTGAGGGCTTGCACAAGCAGTCTGCTTGAGACCACGACCTGTGCAACCAGGTCGAATCAAGCCTTCCCAGGTACAATGTACATATTTAAATAATCACTTTCCCGTTAATCATGAAACGCGAAAGTTTAAAAGTTTGTGATATTACTTTTTCGGTAGGTCTCGATTCCACGGTTTCTGTTTATAATACTTTAACATCGCCCGGAGACAAACTTATCTATATTTCTAAACAAACAGCATCATACTTACAATTACTTGTAGCTGTCTGATGACCCACCACTACTTCAGATTTATTTGCACTGAACAACATCTAGAGATAAGATAGTATTTTTATCAGAGACTTAACTGGCACTTTTCTGGTTCTTACGTATTACAGCATTGGATATACTGCATGAACAGACTACTGTCAATATGGAAGGAGAAAATCAACAGGGATCGCAGCCAAGCTCTATAATGTCACCGCAACAAAGTAAGTAGCGTGAAATCATCAAATCTTTGAATAATATACTAAAAATCTGTCTTATTCCACATAAGTAGATATTATTGTTTTTATGTGTATCTAAAATAGTTACTGATCAATAAATTGAACTTAAAACATGAATAATTTAAATCTCAAATATTTGGTTAAAAAGCTGAATTTCAATGGATAACTAGGTACTTAATACTGTGTCGTAAGGAAATGTTTGGTTTTTTTTCTAGGTTCATTGGACGCATCATTTCAGCCAGAAGGCGGTCAGAAACCGGAGCCTCAAGCGTCGGGACTTAGTTTTGTAAAGTTTGCGTCCAAAGTAGCAACAATCTCGAAACTAGGACAACCTAAATCACCGACATCGCCAACACCCTCGGGAAACAAGATGGAGTTTTAATTATATATATAAGATCATCAATGAATTTTTATGCATACCTATTGTGTAGTTGATATTTCAATGTAGACATATGTAGAATATTCATATAGGACCTCATTACACAAATAAAATTAAAATTAAAATGCAGTAAGTTTTCTTTAATCTAGAAAATAAAAAATACAGTATAAACGGATTTTAAATCACAAGAATAATTACATATTCACAAATAACTTCGGTATTCTGCGCTGTTTACATAATCTCGCATTTAAACTGACAGTAAAAACAATTGTCCAATGTAAGCAATAACTTTAAAGCAACATTTAACTTACACTTTATAATACATAAATAATACATCTTGCAAATAAAAATTACATAAATTCAAGTTAGCTAAGTTTTATTAAATAGTTAAATCGTTCTACATACTTGTATTACGTTCCTTCTTAATCATTATATTCAATGTTACTTTGAGAACCTTCAAATTAATTTCAGGTTGAATGTCACTAACATTTCATTTTACTGACTTAGTGTATTATATTAAAATTTTATTGTAATCCCACTGACTCGACATACTTCAGATAGCCTAACCTCTCAGTCCTTGACTCAATATAACTTTAGCACTCTCATCCAGACACAGGTAATAATTTAATAATCGTATCTTAAACACTACACATCGCATCATCTCCCGTTTCGCAAGTTGTTCTATTGTTTCACTCGATGTCCTAGCCCCTTGGTGTTCACAATTCTTTGAGCAATTATTGATGTTGGTGCAAATATGATACGAACACAATACAGACATGCGTCGAATGAGAAGTGTTTTGTTTATCTATGGGACGAAACTAGCTGTAATCAATATTAGTCTTAAATTGTGAATAAATTTTTGCTACAAATAAGTTTTTTTTTTATAGAGTTGTTATTCTCTGCTTAAAACTAAAAATGCAATTTGGAATAAAAGAAAGTGGCGTGTAAACAATTGAATTGCACTTACAACGTTAGATACATAACGTATCATGTTCTAAACTAGCGACTCTATCGATTAGAAGCCCCGGTGACGACCTCGTAAACAATTTGCAAATTGAACTCAACCTTCATCATAAATAAGGCCATTATGATTTCTTAGAGTTCGTTTTGACTATGGAAGAATCTATTGAGAAATACTATACACTTTCACTTACATTATAATTGAATCGGACCTACCTAAAACATAAAGGTGAAACTCTTATTAAAATTATTGTTCGTATATATTGCGTAGCATTATTAAACTAAACATAGGAGTGGCGTAAAAATTATTAATTGAATATAATTCGTACGAGTTTTGTGCATGATACCTGTCTCGATATTTCAGTGATATACATTTTTACAAGTTTGTCAACCGAAACGGTAAGTATAGGCTAGATTTTATAATACACTTTACCCTACATGAGGATTGGTAATGTCATAACTTACAACAAAATTACGTAAGCTACAAGACAAGATTGCTCTCGATGGACACTACGTTTATCTAACGCGTAACAATGTAATGAGGGTGTATGCTAACATTTTAGGAACCCAAGTATTGGATGTCGCAGTGCCACCGCTATAAATAGAACTCTCGTAATAATAAAGCATAATTTTGTTATCAACAAGAACTACGGCAACATTATTTATTGACTTTAACGCTATGCTTGAAGAGTTGACAATAAATATTTATGATAAATACAATGTGCACATTTCTTTTGTTAATAAAACGTCGATGGGCAGTACACAAGACATTGAGCACAACTGTGTTTATTTGGCAATTTTGTTTTAGAAATGGCATCAAGATAATTTTAAGAATAAGTACTTTGTGACGTTTGAATGAAACAAACAATGTGTTTAATAAATAACTATCTTATATGTCATTCCATTTTAACTTGGATAATATGAAATACGCACATTGTCGGAGTTTCTTCGTGGGTAACGCGTCCACTCGAATAATATCTCTGGTTGATAAAGACGTGACTTACAATGTTTGATTCGCGGATGAATATGGGCGATTTGTTTGAAGTGGATAGTTCTCCCGTGTGGTAGTGTCCTGCAGGGAGATGTTACCGGAGTGGCGGCGTTAGCTGGAGAACGTAACTAGTGACAGCTGAGCTGTGGTCGGCGCCTACGTCCCGCCGGCGCGCAACACTCAGTCTCGCCTCACAAATGTTCTTCCCCTACAAAAATATTTAGGCGTCAGTCAAAATGAAGAGGGTAAATAATATCTAAAGTATGTGTGGTGAAGCTAGAAGTATGGTATACTGACGTGATAGTTTTGCGCTCGGTGGGGCGCGAGGTGTTCTGGGGGCGCGCGCGGTTGAGCACTTTGAGCAGGTCGCCGGCCTTAGCGCGCATGCGTGAGTGCACGTACACCTTGGAGCACTTGATGTGGTAGTGCAGGTAGTCGCGGAACATGTGCAGCAGGTCGATGGTGTTGTCGCGGGCCGCCGAACACGTGTGCCGCGGGAATAATACTGAAACATTTATTATATATACTCATTGGAGACATTCTCACTTTTATGTTTGCCAATTTTCGTGATACATAGAAGCCAAATATTCTTTTTATGATAAAAATTGATGTCTTTCTGAGACTGAGGCATCTGATTAGTCAAATGAGTATTATTGAAGTGTCTCAATAAACTTACCAAACGTAACATAACTGATATTATCGCCTACTCTTGCGTCCGTATCCATTAGTTCTAGGGGCGGTTCCTTATGTGAAAACAATACCTGAAATTTTAAATTCAATAATTATAATATCTAACAATGATGCATGAACAATTATGATACATTGATTTCCAAATACAGACTAGCTTTAACATTATGTATAAATACAAAGTTCTTCATTTTATATCATTATTAAATAGCTACTATCTTTTTATAAGTACTTCTAAAATGTAAACACTCTTAATATTTAATTATGATCAAAAACAACAACATGTGGTTGGATCTCATCACATCATCATCGAGACGTCGAGTCAATGACCTAATACTTTTTAGGTCGCGCGGGATGTGGCCTAGTAACGGCACGTCGGTAATCTAGTACTGATACGAGGGAGAGATGTGGCGTGCAAGACCCAAGTACAACTAGTACTTACTTGTGGCGCGGTGTGCGATGCTCTCCGGCCCTCCTTGAGCTCCTGCATGAACACCTTGCCGATAACCATGTCATCCTCGTGTCGGAACACCGTAGAGAATACCACCGTCACGCGGTCTTCTTGCGCTTCCACGTATCTGGAATTTCATAAAAAAAAACGTTGAGATGATGACCAAGTGCACTTTGCAACTATTGTTACGACTTAATCCATCTTTTCATATTTTACAACTTACAACGTCTCGTCCTGTCGGTAGTTGATAACGGCGCGTTTATGGCTGACATCGCCATCTTCCTGCAGCCGGAAATAACGTTCGAAAACTGACGCGAAGCAGTTCCTCTTCAAGAGACCGACCTTCTTTACGACATCCTCCCAATCGTCGGGAATGTTCTCCAAGTCGAGTAACAAGGAGATGTTGTAACCTGAGATAAAACAAAATATGGATCATAATCCTACGAAAAAGATATAACCAAAATAAATAGTTAATATTAGTCGTAATTTCTTAAACACATAATGTCTAGAAACAATATTTAAACGCTATGAGTTATATTAATAAGTGCCTAATATTTTCTCTATTAAAAAAAAACTTATTCACAGTGGATATTTTAAGATGACTACACACACCAAAGTTTTTATTTACACCGGAATTAAAAATAACCAATCAATTTGTGCATTGCAATAGCTATTGTTATAGATGTTGTTTAAAATAAATATGGAAATGCTAATTATATTCGTTAAATTTCTATCGGGAAATGACGTAACGATACAAGAATATAAGTGCCAATGTAAGTTATTATGGCATGGAGTGCCATAGTAACTTACATAGTACCTAGTCACTTCCATGTTTTTCCACAGCTATTTCCCCTAGAGACAGTTACTTTGATGATTATGGAAAGGTGTGTCGCTTTATGACTAATCAATACGAGAGTTCAAAGTACTACTTTATCATTTGGCAGTGAATATTTTATGCTCACAAATTGTCCTTACGAAGGGGACTGTCTAATAACAAAGAAGATTGATTTGCCCAGCCTTTATATTCAGATACTTTGTAGGTCACCACAAGGTGTTTTGCGCTTACTGGCTGCTCTCAGCCTGGCGAATATAATCGAAATAATAAGTTGAAAAAAAAAATAGGAATCGCGTTTTTTGGAGGCCGAAAAATTGTCCAATGAATTTCATGCCCTAGGGGGCGAGAGGGAGTGTCCGGCTTTTACCGACTGAAAACACCCCTTTCCTTCTGGTCCGGGTTAGGGCTGCGGTGTATTGTTCCTTCCTATTACCAGAGACTGGTGATGGTATTTTTTTTATATGCAAGATATTTTCTTTGCGGGTTTCCCACGTCTTTTCAATTGGATTTCATGATTTTATCGTGTTCAAACTAAATTCGTACTGAAGCAAAAAATACAAGTCAAGATAAGCCACGAGTTTGAAATTAAAACATTTTATATCTTATCAATTCAGTGCTCCATACTTGTTCACACTTGCAATCTTATCATAATATGTTTTCAATATGTATGGATACAAATAAAGGGTAAAATTTTTGTACATGAAAATATTATATGTTGTTGTTGATGTGCTCATTACATTGGTTTATGTGGAATTAATTAACTGCAGTTATGTCTCTCAATGAGATACTTGATGGCCTAGACATTAATAGATTGTAATAGATCAATAAGTACTTAAAATGTAGGTTGCAACTATATAAGAACAATTTTTTGCTCTTTTATAGTTGCAAGTGCAACAGCATAGTGGACAGCAACATTATTTTGTGAAAACAATTTGGTATATAAAGAAATTTTCCAAATGTTCAATACTGGGCTAGAGAGTATTAAAAGTCGATTCATTATTTATTTACTTTAAAAAAATATTCTCAATCAAAATAAACAGTATTGATAAGTTTGTTTCAATATTTTTATTCTTTAAATGGCATTTTTGTGGTTCAACACCTTATTGTTATTATAAAATAGTCAGTGAATATTTTTCATTGCCAGTTAGTAACTATACCTATAAATCAAATTATGACTCACTTTGAGGAAGTTTAAATGTTCATGGCACACCCATTATTATCCTTAAATGTGACGGAAAACGAGTAATATGAGATATATTTAGTTCATATTTGAACTGGAACAATAGCTGCTCCACTGAACATTGGCAATTATGCAATGCATAAAAACAGGCTCACATACTCGCTTTCATTTTATGCAACTGTTCAGCTACTAGTTTTAGCACAGTATTGGCAATTGAATAAGTTAAGATTTTACAAATATTTGATTCAAACATATTTATTAATATAAAACAAATTATTACATCACCATATTAATAAGTTGTTTTTTTTTTGGTTACATTATTTCACAGGTTGGGAATACAAAATAATAATATTATGTTATTTCAATAAGAAATATGTATTCTAACAAAAATTTTCCTTACAGGAAAACAAAATAATTTATTTAGAATCATTGTGTTATGTTTGTTATAATTATTTTAGAACTTTACCAACACAAATTCCAGTAATTCAATTAATGTATATATAGGTGACTAGCTACTCTCACGTGGTTTCACCTGCTGCTCTGCTACTACAGATTGTAGGGTGATGATTTATAACCTACAGTCATCCTCGATAAAAGAACAAATTAACAAAAAAAGAATTGTTCAATTTGAACCAGTAGTTCTGGAGAACAGAGTGTCCAAACAAACAAACTCTTCAGCGTTATAAGTATAGATTAAAATAAGCTGTTACCTGACTCTGCCTCAGTGAGGAGTGGTCCATATACTCTTTTGAGAAGCTCATCTGCTCCATGTTCTTCTAACTGCTTGTAGAACTTCAATGATATACTAACCTAAAAACAAAATGGATATAAATATAAAAATATTTTTTAGCAGTAAGAACAGTTTGGTATACTATCTAATTTAGATCCACTTGAGCAAAGATAAAAACAATACAGATTAACTTTTGTTTATCTAGTGGTATGTATTAAAATACCTAAAATCTTTGGTTCCAATTATTATTAATCTATGTTCATGTCATTGTAGTTTTTATTTGTTACCTTATGGCAAAAATGACATTGAAGAATTGACTCACCTACAGGAGGTGATTACACAAATAGTTTATTATGTACCTCTCTTATCTATCCTGTTAGGGAAAATTTTTATAACAGTATATAGTTATTTAACCTGTGGCTTAAGCTACAAATTAATTATACTGGGAAGTATTAAAGGCCCTTAATACTATTATTATGTTCACATACCCTAACTTTGGTTTTATCTCCATTCACATTAGATATATGAAAGAGTACTCCATCAAAATCTGCAACTTTCACATCTATTGACTCTGGCTTTAAGCTGGAAACAAAAACATAAATAAATAAATATTTGTAGGATGACAAATCAACATCAAATTACTCATATCCTGGGGTATGTCATCACATTATTATCATGGCATTCTTCCACTATACCAAATGGATAGCAGTATCACATATCAGATTCATTTCATTGTTTACCGCCACTGGAATCCAAAAACATTATGGGACGTATCCGCACACACACTACTCCACACCAATAAACAACTGATGACTCATCCATGCTGAGATAGCCACTATCACGTCATATTCCCTACATGACATAATACACTTCAAATCACTAGGTGCCCTATTCCTATACATTTATATGGACCTGCTGTGATGCGGCGGCCAACGTGGGCCCACCCCAGGAATTTGACACTTGTCAAGTTACATCCGAAAAGGGGTTATGGCCAGGAATCACCCCCTCGTAGACAGTTCCACTGACGCCACTATACGGCGAAATCCGTGTAAATGGGCTGAATGCTCGTTAAACACATCACATTTATAAAAAAACAGTACACTTTCTAAGCGTAACGTACTCACCGCGCCAGTGCATTTTTATATTTAACTGTTAAAGTATCTTCTATAATTCTATTATTGATCTCGAGTAAGATCATTATTTAACAATTTATAACCTACAGCTTTTTCATAAAATCAACGCTTATAGCACCTTCATTTAATAATTTATACGGAAATCTTCAACGATGACCGCCCGTATATAGATATCCATAAACGACAGAAAGAAAAGGAAGCTCCAAATGAATGAAATATCGGCCATGTAACCATAGAGCACGATTTTTTTTATTTAGTTACTGCTCATAGGCGATTAAGATTTATTGACTTTAAAAAGTTTAAAAAGCATGAGAATAATTATTGTGCGTTGAAGATTTGAATAACAATAAATTTCCTTTTTATTAGAAGATTGATTCATTGTTCAAAATTAAAAACACGAAAGAAAACCGTAACTTACTAAAGAACAAAGACATCCCTAGCACATAACATGAAATTAAAAAGTTTTATTTCTAGTCTATGTTTGGTATTGGGTCGGTGTGGAGCAGGACCATCACTTTGTTTATTTTTATATTGAACTGAAAACGCGTGATAAATTACGCGTTTTGATTTACATGTGGACAATGAAATAATTAAAAATCAAGATGTCTAATCAAGTAGGCGCGTTCGTTGCGGGACTTAAGTCCCGCAATGTCGATGTTCAAATCAAGACGGCTCGTGAGCTTTATCATTTTGCGAAGACGGAACTCCGAGAAGTACCACAAGAGGAATTGACTCAATTCCTCGATGAATTTAACCATCAGATCTTTGAAATGGTATCCAGTAACGATGTTCATGAGAAGAAAGGAGGTGTTTTAGCAATAGGTAAAAACAAAAGTTTTAGATGTACCATCTTTTAATTTTTTATGTTATGTCATGGAGAATAATCAAAATATAAATTTTCTGAATTTCAGTGTGTCTCATTGGTGGTGATTGTGACACGACTAAAACGCGAATCACTAGATTTGCAAACTATCTTCGGAACCTGCTACCTTCTTCTGATGTCGGCGTTATGGAACTTGCCGCTAAAACTGTGGGCCGCCTCGCCACAGTCTCAGGCGTGAAACGAGCAGAATATGTTGAGTTTGAGGTTAAAAGAGCATTTGAGTGGTTGTCTGAAGAGAGAAATGAAGGCAGACGCCATTCAGCTGTTTTGTTGCTGAAAGAGTTAGCTATAGCTATGCCCACTTACTTCTACCAACAAGTATCAGGATTTTTTGACCACATTCTAGTCGCATTGAAGGATCCTAAACCACAAATTCGTGAAGCCGCAGCAAAAGCTTTAAGAGCAGGTTTAGTAGTGACTGCACAAAGAGAAACAGCCAAACAATCAACTGCCAAACCTCAATGGTACATGCAGTGCTATGAAGAAGCAATGTTGTCGTTTGATGATATTCCTGCAAAAGAAAAGGGTATCACCAAAGAGGATAGAGTCCATGGAGGCCTGTTAATTTTAAATGAGCTGCTGAGATGCTCGAATGCTGTTTGGGAAAAAAAGTATTCATATCTAATGCAGAGCCTGGATTCCCAAAAGGATGTCACAGTGTCTGATGACATTATTTTTATTAGCACTAAGTTACACAGTCCATCAGTTAAGAGAGGATATTTGTGTGATGGCTTCAAGACTGAAAATGTTACATACCCAGTTCCTATTTATGAATCTGAAGTTTGCCGTAGACTTCTTACTAAGAGGTTTGAAAGAATTTGCAAAGGTAAGTGTAAAAATGCAAAACTGACAAAATATCCACAGAGTTTGCTAAGACATCCAATTTTCCAATTTATTAAATGTAATGTATATTTTTTTGCAGATGTCATGAACCAACGTTTCCTCAAAACACAAGGAGTTCCTCAAATTCTCTTTGTAATTATTCCACGGCTGGCTGCATTTAACAAAGAGTTTTTCCTAAATAAATACCTCACTTCTACAATGAGCTACTTGCTCTCTTGTCTTCGTAGCAGAGAAAAGGACAGGAACATGGCATTCACCACACTTGGACTTATGGCTGCTGCCATTGAAAATGACATTAAGAACTATATTCCCTGCATTATGGATGTCATCAAACAAACATTGCCTGTTAGAGACACACAAATTAAAAAGAGGATTTGGATAGATCCTTCAATTTTTGCTTGCATCACCCTACTTGGCAGTGCAGTGAAAGATCTGGTCACAACTGATATCAAAGAGTTACTAGATGCCATGTTTGCTACTGGCCTGAGTCCTTCTCTCACAATCTGCCTCAGAGAGTTGAGTAACAATATACCTTCATTACGAGCAGAGATATCAGAAGGTTTATTGAATATGCTTTCCCTTGTTTTAAGAAATAAACCATTTTTACATCCAGGTGTGCCGAGAAGTTTGGAACAGCAGATGAGTAACATGAGTTTAGTAATGGAACCGCAAGATACTGCTAGCATTGTTCTAGCATTACGAACTCTAGGATCATTTAATTTTGAGGGACAGCACAGTTTGCTTACTTTTGTTAGGCGCTGTGCTGATCACTTCTTACAGAGTGAACAACAAGAAATTAGATTGGAGGCTGTAAAAACTGCTGCAAAACTATTGGCCGACTCAATGATTAGGACGATGAAAACTCCTTCAAGGACTCTCACTCTGCTGACTGCAGAAGTAGTTGGCAAGTTGTTGGTTGTTACTGTAACAGATCCAGATTATGAAGTTCGATACTGGGTGCTTGAGTCTCTAAACAATATGTTTGATATACATTTAGCTCAAATTGAGAATTTGAGTTTTCTTTTCATGGCCATGAATGATGAACATTTGGCTATTAGAGAGCTGGCAATATGTACTGTTGGCCGGTTGAGTGTAGTAAATCCCGCTTATGTTATGCCAGGGTTGCGAAAGACATTGATACAGTTCCTAACTGAACTGGAACATTCCGGAATGAGTAGAAACAAGGAACAAGCAGCCAGAATGTTGGACAATCTCATTCGTCATGCTCCAAAGTTAATAAAACCTTATATGGAGACAATTCTGAATGTACTGGTGCCAAAACTCAGAGAATCAGACTCAAATCCAGGTGTGGTCATAAGTGTTTTAAAAGCTATTGGTCACTTAGCTGATGTACATGGTGATAACAGTGGCCTGAAAAAGTGGCTACCAGACTTACTGAGCATTCTTTTGGAGTTGTTATCTGATGCAAGTGCAACAGAGAAGAGGAGTGTCGCTCTTTGGGCCTTCGGTCAATTGATCGGCGCTACAGGCCACGTCGTCACGCCTTACACCGAGTATCCCACTCTCATGGATGTCCTGTTGAATTTCCTCAAGACTGAACAGCAACCAAAAGATAGGAGGGAAACAATTCGTGTTTTGGGATTGTTAGGAGCTTTGGATCCTTACAAACATAAAATTACAAGAGGTTTGATTGGCGAACAACCTGATTCCAGCTTAGTACCTGTTGCAGATAGCAAAGCCGAAGAGAATAATTTCGATATGACGACAAGTGAGATGCTTGTGAACATGTCGTCCACCGTCTTGGATGAATACTACCCAGCCATTGTTATATCGACACTTATGAGGATTCTGAGAGACCCCACACTGCAACAACATCATACTAGTGTTGTCCAAGCGGTCACTTTTATTTTCCAGTCTCTGGGCATCAAGTGCGTGCCTTATATATCTCGAGTTACGCCAAGCCTGCTTTACGTAGCGAGGGCAACAGACAACAATAGCTTCAGAGAATTCCTATTTACGCAACTAGCCAGATTAATTGCGATTGTAAAGCAGCACATTCGCAACTATTTGGACAAAATATTCGATTTGATCAGAGAGTTCTGGACACCTAATAGTTCATTACAACCTACTTTAATTCTTTTGGTGGAGCACATCGCAGTTGCTCTTGGATCAGAGTTTAAAGTATATTTGCCTCAGTTGATGCCACAGGTTTTGCGAGTTCTGGCACACGATACGAGTAAAGACAGAATAGTAACAGAGAAGCTTCTCTATGCCTTACAAAAGTTCGAAGACAACTTGGACGACTACATGCATCTAGTCATACCGTCAATAGTCAAGTTATTTGATGCAACAGACTGTCCCATCGGAGTGGCTAAAGTAGCCATGGAGACGGTGGATTACCTGTCTGATACTCTAAATTACGGTGAACTAATTTCTAGAATAATCCATCCTCTAGTCAGAAGTCTGGACACCTGTGCGCAACTGCGACCAACTGCGATGGATACTTTATGCGCTTTAATAGTACAGCAAGGTCGCAAATTTACTGATTTTATACCATTGGTACAAAAAGTGGTAGTCAAACATAAAATCCAGCATCAAAACTACGAATTGTTACTTTCCCGAATGCAGTCTAGCCAAAATTTGGCTATGGACGAGTTCCTCCAAAGTACTAGAAGGAGACCGCGGAATAATAACCAGGAGGTAAAGTTAACTTCGTAATACTACAACAATTGTTGTTCATGGAAAATAAAATTTTTTGTACCTCCATCTATATCACCTATTTACGTGATTGTTACTTTTGTTTGACAGGCTCGAATCGGTTACACCTGCGATACTTCACAATCAATACGCAAGTTGTGCGTGAACGCACATAATCTGAAGCTAGCGTGGACAGTCAGCAGCCGAGTGTCAAAAGATGATTGGCTGGAGTGGCTTCGACGATTCAGCATTGGATTACTGACGGAGTCACATAGCCCTGCACTGAGGTAAATATCCATAATAATATCATCATCACATTATCAGCCTGTTAGTGCTTAATGCTGAGCCAATGCCTTTTCTCACACAAAGAAGGTTTGAGCTGTAATTCCCATGCTTGCGCAAGGAAGATTGATGATTTTAAACTTATAATCAATAATTACCTCGCAATGTCTTCCTTCCCCATTTGTCAATGATGGCTAAATATACTTAGAAAGTACATGTAACTGACAGAAAGTCAGTGTTGTTTGCTAGGTTTCCAACCTTCCTACTCACCTTCTCAACAACCACTAACATAAGGTGTCAGAATTATTATACTTTTAAAATTATTTAATACTAGTTTTTCACACGCGACTTCCTTCGCGTGGAATAGTGACTTCCTGAATTTTTTTGTATAAAATCCATCCTA